GCGTCTGGGTCAAGAGGCAGGTGAATCAAGATCGCTGTGAAGTGATCGGCAGTTTACACCAACCACGTTGCGGCCCCACAATTTCAAGGATTCGACCGTATTGAACACAAATTGAAAACTGAATCTTTAACTTCGCATTTAAGAACTGCTTCGATTAAAACACAAATCTGGAGACGGTACTTTAGAGATCCATAAAATATGGGCATATTGGTCAAAATGTCAAAAAGAACCTACACCATCGGGACAATAGCGACAACAGAGCATCGAGCGAACTATCGAGCTTCTCCTCGTCTGGAAAAAGGTAAGGGTCTCATAAGCATTCAATCTAGTGAATCGAAACGGGGTCAAAAATGAAAAAGGACGTCCCATGTTTGCCCAATGACGTCAATGCTTTTGTAGGATGGATTAGTGAAACAAATTGCATCAAATATTTTAAGCCAGCGCTCGCCATCTTGGGAGAACACCGATTGGCTGGAGCTGCACTTTCCATCCAACCGAGCGGCGGTGGCTGCTGCACGCAACGCTAGGCGTTGGGTGCTGGACACGCGAGAACGACCGTTGTGAAATAATCCCTCCGAAAGTCTTCCAAAACTAATTCGCATTGTTCAAAGATTGGACTGGGACGCATACTGCACGTGTACAATTTTGAGGCTGACCTCTGAACAGTTTGACGGTTATAGTGACAGAAAGTCGTTGAGATTTTACCACGACTTTCCAAGTCCTACCACCAGCTTTCAACATCACTTCGTGGTGCTGGAAATACTAATTCGGTCCTACTGTCGTCAATCTTAATATCGTATAGGCGAAAAGTTCACCTGGGCTGCCTTCCAACCATACTAACAGATGTCCGTAAGTGTTCGAAGACTTTAAACGATGACATATAAAGCGTTCCAAAACAATGACCTATCCTTCCTTCAGATACGTCGTTTTCGTCCTCCCGTTGGCCGCCACTTGGCGTTCACCGAGGAGCCGACTCTGTGCGGCCTTTGAATACTAGCGCCAGGTGTTTTTTTAGGACTTGGCGCATATTGATAACTACCTGATGTAGTTTCATCACCATTCAGTCTGACTGACGGTTGGGCATTTCCAGACAAATGTGGTTTGGCGACATCAATGTACAGCTTTGATCTCAATCCGATGTGCGATCTACGTTCACGGTGCCCTCATTGTCTATATCTGTAGAACTCAAAACCCGGCGGAGCCACCAATTGTCACTGGGCTCGTAAAAATTCGCCAAGCCATTGTACATTCATAGTGCCGGTGGTGTATTCCATGAAGCCATTGAACGCCTGGTAATAACCTTGGTGCTATTTTTTGAGACCCTGTCTTTCACATCACAACTCCACGATATCGTGCAGAAATGCGCAGGAATTCCGGTTGTGCTATTACATCATACATCATCATATCATATTTGTCAGCATTTTCATTGTTATATCACATCATCCAAAAAACCTCGTGCGTCAAACGCCGTAATCACCGGTTCTACCGAATATGTCCCGCTGCATCACTGTTGTAGCCGCAGCGTTCCATTCTCCATTATCCATTGTCCTTAGTTCCATTATCTTAAATGTGCACTGAGGAATGCTTATGGGCACTTATTGCACTTATTGAGAAGTGCTTGTGCTTTTGCATTCACTGCAATGCATTTTTTGCCGATGAAATTTTTGTGTGTCAAGAACATGCGTGTAAACGAATTGCGATGGTCACATATATTCTGTGTCAGTCAATTCTCATGAACATATGACTAAATAATCAACAGTTTTCCCAAGAACACAAAAGTATTTATATTACTAAGATCGTCCCCCAATCATTCTGGGAAATCGAAACCCATGGTGTGTAACTCAGAAACTAACGGTTTTAGGTCTTGAGAAGGGCAGGGCTGTGCACTGCGCCAATTGATCATCTAAAAGGCTGTTTAAGTCAAAACCCCACCAAAAAGTGGAACACTCTTTTCAATATCTCTGTAAAAACCAGACCCAAATTCTGGCAAAGCTTTTGACGACTTAGAAAAATGATCGATTATCGGTCTATCCGTTTAGTTTTTTTTTTGTTTTGTTTAAAAAGACTCCGCTAGCTCACTGTGACACGAATAGCGCCGGCGACTTATTTCATGCCGTCGTTTTGAAGGGAGTGTTCCATATTTGAAGGTACTGAAGAAAAATCGGATATGATGAAATGAGCTCGCGTGTAACTATTTATATACTTTTATCACGCGCACGGGCGGCCGATTGGATACCCTTCGCTCGGGTGGGGGGTCAATTTGACTCCGTAAGACTTCAGGAGCTAAGAGAGCTAGCGACACCAAATTTACAGGGTGTTTTGACCCGTATGTAAACTTACTTTGGTCAAAGTTTGTGATTCCTGGATCATGACCTTCAGGTCATACAAGGTCAAACAAGGTCAAATTCTAGGTTGGTATGCAAGGGCCCCTTGAACCTAGATAACTGTTCTAAGCAAAAGGGCACACGATCATTTAAGGCCAGTGACCTTGCTTGACCTTTTGAAGGTCATGGTGACCAAAAATATACAAACTGCCTTGAGTTTTGCATTTGAATAAGCGGCGAAAATAACGCTAGGCAGTATGTTCCTAAAAGCAATGTGTTGAATCATTTCAGGTCAATGACCTATTCTGACCTTTAAAAAATCCATGGAAGGTGCATAATACGGTTTCTGTTATCAATAAATTTGAAATGAGCGCCATAAACTACCATATACAGCAAGCCCTAGGGTAAAAAAACAAGCTGGTTTTGGCCTTGGAATGATCTTTATACCCGACCCTAAGTCAATATGATTTGTTCATTTAATTGTTGTGTTACCTAAGAAAGTATCTCAGAGATGTATGACTTCGTCTAACATTCCGTTGTTGGTTCAGATTGAACGATTCCCGAGAAATTGCCTTCCCAGAAACCCTGGCCTGACTTTGACCTGCCATAGGCCAGCGACCTTACAAGGTACATCTAAATCTTTGATGTCAGGCGCTCCGCAATTCAATCGCCTCTAAATACGTAAAATTTGGCGCAGCTACGCCGCGTTGTTCGGACACCATTTTGGAAAAACCCAGGGGGGCCAATTTGACCCTCTCCTACTCGGGCGCGTGTTATGAAGAAAAACTGCTCTAGACAACACAATTTCCTCATTTACATGCTTCTCAATATGTTGTTGTTCGATTATGTCACCATACCCTTTTTTAGCTTTGAAAGCCAATTGACGGCCGTCATATTTGGAAATTATGTCCACGAACGCCAGATATTAACGGCTCGACAATAACATATTTCTTGGCCTGGATCGCCACATGACTAATGGAACTGGGGCATTTGAACGACGTTATGGCGTTGTGTATGCCTGCGCAACCCTGAAATAGCACCCCGAACTAGTCTGCACATCTTCGCGGACATGTAGCTCAAAAACTAGCGGGGTTTAGGTCTTAAAGGAAGTGTTTCACATTTGTATGGTTTTGGAACTGGAGGAATCACCTTAAAGATCATTGAGGGCAGTTTACGGCCCTGCCCTTCTAACGACCTAAGCCCTCTATTGTCTGAGCAACATGCCCACGCATATATGCAGGCTTTTTAGGGGTACTTTTTCTATGTCAACCAAGGCACCTACAACGCCACAATAACACCATTGAAAACCGCCATTCCCTGAGCCATGTGGCGGTCAGGGGTAAGCAAATCATATGATTGTCGAATCACTCACATATGACGCTCCTGCGCACGATTTACAGCCGTAGCGTCCGTCGACTGACTCTCAATCAATGTTGTGCAGGGTACGGTGACATAATCAAGCAATGACGCATTGAGGACCATATTCACTAAACAGAGAAATTAGGTTGTCTAGTGGAGTCTTTCCGCGACGATGCTGGTATTGGAAATGCGAAGTGAGGTTTCACCGATGGCGCTGAAGCTGATTTGAAGCTTGTGAATGAGATTTTACATTTCCCACTCGACGCTTTTTCGATAGCGACAATAAGACTCGCTGACGGTGGTCGAGTGTAACAGGCACGATATTAGTGCATCCGTGTTGAAACAAGGAAGACGGACGTTTATTACGCCGCGTTCCGATTCATAAGAATCGGTGATGCTCGGATCAAGTCTCGGTGCCGTTGGAGGGGAAATATATGCGGACAGAGTCACGGACAGAGTCAGACCTGCCCCCGCCCCGCAGCAGCTTGACCATGGGCCCCGCAGCAGCTTGACCGTGGGCACCGACTCGGGGGGGGGGGGGGGGGGCGCCCTCCCATCCAGGTCGAGGTTCTTCTGTTGCCTTCATGGTCGGGGAAGGTCGCCAGCATATAGTGACTTCGATGAACCTTTCGAATTGAAAAATAAGGTTGTCGCCTATGAAAGCTCTTGAGATTGTTGAAATAAAAAATAACATAATTTCAGTTCTCTTTTGCGTAGCTTTGCCCCTGTGAAAAGCAGAAATGGTTACTGCTCTCACATGATTTCAATTCATAGCTTGCTTGGAGAAGGTATTTAGGAGAAGGCCTGAAGAAGTTTGTGGGCACTCCCGACAGATTTCGAGTTTGACCTTTACCTTATTTGGCCTGAAGGTCGCGCCCCAGATGCCACATATACATGTCTTTGATTTCACATAAGAGTCCTGGCTATCCCGTAAATTTGGCGTCTCCAGCCCTCCAAATTCTCAAATTGAAGGGTGAGAAATGTCCCCACTCACTCGATCCGAGCAACCTATACCAACGCAACCTATCACCGTTGGTCGTACGCAACCTATCGCCCGGGCACTTGTTTGAAATGACAAAAGAATGGGCTGGATGCTGACAATAACTTAAAGCCCGAAACTCGAAAAGCCGGCACATATCCGTGAGGTCACTCGCACTGAAAAAAACTGACGCCACAACAGCCTGGTGAAATTTCGTGGCAGTGTTAGGGTGGTGGAGGACCGCAGACCATGCCACGTCACCAATTTGGTTCTGAGTGTTTCAGCCACTTTTTTGGAGACATCCATGAATATGGCACAAAAAGAGCATCAGGTAGCGATTCTCAATATACTTTAATGTATTAATGAAAACCTCCAACTAAAATCACAAAATATGAACGCAGCTGTAACTACAAACAATGAACACTTACGAACGAATATAGACGCTTCCCATATTGTCGCGCAGACAATACACGCTACATCCAAGGAGGGCAGGGGCGGGTGCCAGGCCCCGCGCCACCAGGATATGATGCCGCCCGACGCACGCACTTTCCCACACACACACGCACACGCACACACACACACACACACACACAGCCATCGAGAGAGGGGTGTCAACAGAGCCGGACGGAGACGGGCCCGGGAGACCCGGGGCGCCGGAGCGCCGGCGCGTTGACCTCTCGGCCCCCGGCGGCGCACTACAATCACGGGGCCAGCCGGCCGCCGCCGGCCAGCCAGTCAACGGGAGAAACCGAGAGCACGCACACTAGCAGGCGGCTAAGGGCCTGGGCCGGTGCTGGTCGCCGGCCTACGTCGGCTCGCAGGCACGATCCACGCGCAGCGCGCAGCCCTATCACATGAAATAATTTGTTGAGATTAAGGTCAGCTGCTGGGTTTGTACAACATGTCTGTATATAGTCTCTATGGCGGCCTGGGCAGACGATGCATAACCACAAATCAAACGTTTAGTCGGCAAGCGCCCGGTCTCGCTCTGCCTCCCTCTCTCTCGGCGCGCCCAACACGCACGCGCGCCGGCACACAAGCGCACGGACACATGCTCGATGCAGCCGCAAAGGCTGCATTTCATATAAAACCCGGTAATTACACGGAACATAGCATAATGCTGGGGGTGTCAGGAGGGGCGAACGCCGCGTAGTCGGCGGCGGGCGGCGCCGGCCGGGGCCGGTCGCACGGTGTCCGAGCGCCTCGGCCGAGCCGCCGGGACGCCTCCCCGCCGGCCGCCGCGCCCCCCGGCACGCGCGCGCGCCAGCACACAAACACACGGCACTTGGTTCAGTCGGGACCGCAGCGCCACATGCGGGGCGCTGTTAGAAATCGGCGAACTCCTTGGCACATTTCTCAGTGGAGGACACGTGTAACCTCTCCTCCTCGTAGTCGTCGAAGTTGCTGGTGTCGCCGGGGCCCTTGCACTTGGGGATGAACGGCGCCTCCACCTGGCGGCCAGGCACAGCTCGTCAGCCCCCGCCCGGCAACAGCGCCGCACATCCAGCGCCCCCTCCCAACCACTTCAGCCGCTCACCCGTCCACTGCGGGCGTGCTCGGTGCGCGCCAGCTGACAAACAGACCGCCCCTCGCACGGCGCGCGGCGCGCTCCACTGCCACTGCGTGCCGGCAGTGAGCCCGCTCACGAGGGCACGGCGCGAACGGCCACACCAGGGGCGAAGCCGACCTGAATCCACCCATTCAAGCTTCGATTGTATAGGGTCGGAGCTTCTAACCGTGTGTTCAACCAAACGGCACGTTCCACGGCGCTGCTCATTTTCGTCCCCGGCACCAACCGGCCGATGAAAATTGCTCTCAAAGCAATTGCATTGCCTGACACACCACTTTTAAGCAACGACATTTAGCGGCGGCTTTGGTGCGGCTCTATCTCTAGACATAAGAATCCCCGTCACAAAAATAAGCATGTCAGAGGGTTTCTTGGTTCTTCTGCTTACGGCAACCACTGCAATAAAAATTTCACTGAAAACCTGCGAAATGGTGTACACAACGTATGCTGGTAGGTAAACAGAGCATTTGCAAATAACATTTTAGTGAAACGCTTAGAACCACCAAAACAGAATCCTACGCATATTCTTGCATTTACTGACTTCGCAGTGCTGCTAAATCATGGACCTAAACGAAACAGGTGCAAGTATTCACGCTAAATCCCCATGTTTTGCGCTCTCGTGTCGTGTTCGCAGGCACTGCGCTATCTCCCCCTCAGCTGACCACCGGCGGCGTCGCGTCCGTGTACGCAATAATCCAGTTCTCGTCCAGTCTCTCCCTACTCAAGGCAGGAAGAGACAGTGGATGCTGTATGTTTTGCTTTGTGGTCGTTCCAACGTAAGATTTAAACTTTTTTCCCAAAACTCGGGTCATGGTCTTGAGGCAGGCGGCCACCACTTGGTTTAAAGCTTCAAATTTAAAAAGCATTGGCTTTAATGAAAAGCGGCCAACTGGTTTTCGTTCCCCTTTTTTAAGCTTAATTCATAGGCAAACGTCAGCACACCTGGCAATAGCTCTTCACTTTCCTCTTATTGATAGCGAACTCCCTTTGATAATGTGCATTACAATTAAGATTACACGGTACACTGCTGACGCTAATCTCTCACTCAATGGGACCGTTGACGTTAATCTCTCACTCAAATGAAGCACACTAAGGCGTAAAATTCACTGTAATTCGGTACGCATGGCCTCCTCACAAAGTCCCAGCTTTAAAATGCTCGCGCTTCTTTAAGGCTAATCCAATGAGAGTATGTCTGCTGAAATATGGTATATTTAGCGGCCTTTTGCATTTCATTCGAATCTGAGACTGAAGTCACCAGTATACCGTGCATTCCTCGCCTGCTTGACATAGTTCCTCTTCTCGTAGCGCCTCACAAAATCGTACTCAGCGCATATCTCAACTTTGAAAAGCCTACAACTGTTCCCTCCGACCGGTCCGTGACATTCCCGCCGGTTTTGTGCGGGGCCTGGCCGGTTTGCCCAGCGGCCGAACGGCGGCCAGTTCGCCTAGCGGCCGGTCCGCCCAGCGGCCAGGGGGGCGGCCGGTTCGCCCAGAGGCCGAGCGGCCGCCAGTTCGCCTAGCGGCCGGTCCGCCCAGCGGCCGGGTGGCGGTCGCCGGCGCGTCTCACGCGGTATCGCTGGGGCGGCGGGCGGCGGCCAAACCGCTAAAAGTCGGCGAACTCCCTAGCGTAGAGGCACTCGGCGACAGGCCGCACGGCGTTCGGGTCCTCCTCGTACGAGTTGAAGTTGGACGTGTCGTCGGCCGCGCGCAGCGCCGGACAGAAGGGCGCCGTCACCTACACATGCGGCCGCAGCGTCAGCCGAGCCGGCCGGCCTGCCCGCCACCCACACCGCCACCACCAGCAGCGCCGGGACGGGGACGGGGACGGGGACGGGGACGGGGACAGAAAAGGAGGGCCGTGTCTGCGTGGCAACACGGTCCGGTTCCACTAGTGGTGGAGTGGTTCTGGGGTGTGAGACGCAACCATTAGTGGGGCACACAGAGAGCGGAGAAGAAAGAGGGTGCTCACAGTCGGCGGAGGGCAGAGGTAGCGGAATAACACCAGCGCACGAGCGGCCGGCCGGTGGAAGCACCAGAGGCCTAGGTGGCAGCACTAGGCAAGATAAGTAGCATAGAAACTAAAGTAGTGGGAAACCGAACTAGAAAAATAGATCTCAGCAGAAAAGAGAGTAAAAACAACTGAACTTGCATGCGCTTTGTACAAAATCATTAGTACCGCAACACTGCCTGCCATCTATCTTCAACCAAGCAAGCGCACAGCGCAGGGCGCAGCGCGCACATCATGCAGTGAAGGCCAGCACAACACACATGTAATGCGACTCTCTCCAGTGAGGGAGTCGGCTGCAGACTAGCGAGGGCCTCGGCAGTCAGCGCCCTACCTTCTTCTGGTACACGGCGATCCAGTCGGTGGTGGTGAACCACTTGTGGCCCTTGATATCGTTGACACCGTTCTTGAGGTTGCCGTAGCGCTTGGTGAGGTCGACCTGCAGCAGATTGCGCAGCAGGTCCTTCAGGTCGGAGCTGAAGTGGGAGGGGTAGCGGACCTGCGGGTGGAGGGCGGCGCGCCGTCAGAGCGGGGGCGCGCAAGCTGTAGCGGCCGGCCGGCCGGCGCCAGGCAGCGGCCCGCCACCTGAATCAATACAGCGCGACGACGCCCGGCAGGCCAGGCAGTGGGCGGCCGGCCGGGCGGCGCGCCGCAGCTCCGGGGCAGGTGGCCGGCCGGCCGGCGGCACGGCTGGCTCGTCAGCCCGCACGTGCTGACACGCAACACAGCCAGACGCACCGGGCCCCAGCCCCCACCCCTGCGCCTCTCGCTCAGAAGGCGGCAGGCAGATCAGGAGCACGGGACGTCCCAACCAGCGCGCGGCGATCACTCTTCAATACAAGGGGACCGCTCTTTACTTCAAAGGCTTTAAGGGCCGGCTCACGCCTCGATCATACACGGGTGTCTGCGTTCTCGACCATGCCAGCCACACATCGCTTGGCTGATGTGGACGAACTGAGAGCGGCGTCGCGTCGGCCCTACTGATCTGACAAGTCCCCCGCACCGCAGGAAGACGCCCATCACGAGCGAAGGACACGGACCACATCTCAGATGTGGCGTCACCGGGCGGCTCCCTCCCCCCCCCCCTCCCCATCACCGTCGGGCTGTCTCGTGGCGCTGCGGCTATCGCCGTGCCTGCGTCTTTGCGGAAAGCACACTAAAACCAACGGCGAGTTCGATCTACGCCAGTGACGCACGCTCTGCCGACGCACGGGACCCAGCGCGGCCGTGGCGCAGTGCGGGCGGCGTGCGGCCGCCACTCCCGGCGGCGGCCGACGCCGACGCTGTGCGACGGCCGCGCCCGTCGGCTCCGAACCTGCCGTCCCGACCGAAGGCCACCGCCACGGCCGCGGCGGCAGCGACGGTGGCCGACAGAGGGCGACGGCGGTGGCAGCCGGCTCGCGCTGCAGCCGACCCTGACCGGCCCGCCCCAGTGCCGGCTGCCCCACTCTAGCTGCCGGGCCGACCTGGCACCGCCCAGGACGCCAGCCATTCGCTCCGACCTCCGTGCGAGGAGGCGGCGCTGGCAGGGCAGGCGGTCCGGGGGCGGCTGCTGGCCGCGGTCAGCAGCGCCCTGGCGGACGAGGCCGACTCGCCGGGCGCGCCAAACGACCCGGCAGCCGGGGCACAGCCGCTGCGGCCGCCGCGTCGCACCGCCTTTCAACAGCGGCCACTTGAGCCAGGTCAGGTTTCAGCGGTGGCCGAGATGGATTGAGCAGCCGCGGTACGGCAGCAGCTGGCCGTCGCCGGGCAGCCACCCGCCAGGTCACCGACAAACAAACGACTGTCAATACTGTCCGGTGGCGTAGTGATTTGTACAGCCCGATCTGCCACACATGCTCATAAACCCGACATTCACTGGCCACCGTGTTTGGACAGGCCGATCCCATTGATCGATGGCTTCTGCGGGCCGCTGCTGGCCACCGCTCGTGGTCGGCTCTGCATAGTGCAGCCCGCTCCGGTGGCCGTCGGTGACCGGGTCCGCGCCACCGACCCGGCCGAGCAGGCGGCGCGGGCCGCCCGGCCACCCACTGCGCAGATCCACACACACACGCGCGCGAGCCAACCGCGTGTCGCGCCTCGCCGCAGGGTCGGCCGGCGAGCCGTGCACAGGTGTGCGGGCCGCGGCGGCCGGGCGGCGGCTCTGCCGGCCACTGCCGCCGCCGGTCGACGGGCGCTGGCCGCCGCCGCCGCCGAGCGCACGGCTCCCAGGGTGGCAGCGCGGCTGCGGCGGGCACACAGCCACCTACCTTGCCAGAGACGATCCTCTCGTAGATCTGGATGGGCTGGTCGGCGAAGAATGGCGGGTAGCCGGCCGCCATCTCGTAGATGAGCACTCCCATCGCCCACCAGTCTACCGCCTTGTTGTAGCCCTGCGGCACGGCGCCGCCGGGTCAGCGTCGCCAGGCGGCTCTGCGCGCCGACGCGGCCGTGCTGTTATCAGCCGACACACCGCTGGTCCGGCCATCGTACTCCAGACAGGTGTGGGGCGCGCGGCTCCACCTTCTCGCGGTCACCGCCGACGCCGCCCACCGAGCAGCCTCGCAGTCGTCCCGTGTGACGGCCCCCGCGGTCCAGCAGAGGCCGGGTCACCACACAGGCGGCCGGGGCCGGCACTGCAGCGGCACCTGGTAGCGACGACAGGCTCGGCCTCACGCGGTGCCGGCGGGGTGACCGCTGCGGGCACGCTCACCTTGCTGAGGATGATCTCGGGCGCCAGGTACTCGGGCGTGCCGCACAGCGTCCACGTCCGCCCCTTGACCCGCTTGGCGAACCCAAAATCGGTGACCTGGCCGGCGGGAGCACGGTCAGAGCTGGCCGTGGCGCGACATGGCGAGCAGACGGGTGAGACGGGGCGGCCCGCAGCGCGGCCACTCGGTGGCAACCGGAGCCGCAGACGGGGTAGCCATACGCCATACGCAGCCATACGCAGGTAGCCATACGCATAGCCATACCATACGGGTAGCCATACGCAGCGAGACGCACACATACACGCTGTCAGGCGTGGCCAAACATGAAGGTGGGCAGGAGTCGCGAACGAGGTAGCAATACGCAGCGAGACACACACATACACACACTGCCAGGCACGGCCACGTACGAAGGTAAGCACGGCCAGCGAGACTCACCACCAGGCATGGTCACGGTGAAGGTGGACACGACGGGCACGGTGGGCACGGCAGGTCAATGCGCACGCACCACCACCACCATGATGAAGCACTTTCTCACATCCATTCGTTGACGCACAGCCCGTATGTACGCGCACACACAAACACACACGCACGCGGGACGAGAACTCCACCCATCCGCACGCGAGCCTTTCCTATGCATGCCTCCCGAAATAGACCACCAGGACCGCCTGCGACGGCCGGCACCTGACCGGGCCACTCGCTCCGGCTGCGGGCAGCCACCTGGCCCCCTGAGGCCCGCCGCCCGCCCCGCCCGCGCGCCGGGGTCACGATTCGCTGAGGCCAGCCGGGCCGGGCCAGGCCGCACCGACACAGAGCCGGTGCCGCCAGCGCTCGCAGTCAGCGCGCCCGTCCGCCGCTCTTTCTGGGACACCGTGACACCAGTCAAGCTCGAGGTCCGGAAGTCTCGGTGACGTCACCATATCAAGAGATCTTGAGTCGCCGCACTTTTTCGTTTTCTCCTACTGGCAGAGTACCCTCGGTCCACGGAACCTTTCAAGGCCCTGCAGGTGATTCCCGGAACCTATGCAAGATTCGCGCTTATCACGGCCAACGCGCGGCCGGAAGCCTGCCAAGGGACCAGCATCAACAGAGGGATTGTGTTTTTCCGATCAGCGCCGCCGCCCGGGGAGGCCGCACGAAGCCCTCCGTTCGGCCGGACGCGCTGATTGGCAGCACAGAAGCCCCGCTGGGCCCGCCATGCTCCGACGTATCCGCACGCCCTGTCCCAGCCTCTGGTCTCCGGCTGATGAGATCCCTACCCGCGTGCCTGGTGTGGACAACCACCTGACACTCATAGGTCTGATGACTTTCCAGTCCCAAGTGCTTGGTACTGCTTATCGATTCGCATTTTTTCGATCCTCGTTTGAGTAGCCAACACCATTGAGCGTTACGTAACGCCAAAAGCCAAGGACAGCTTGACAGGGCAATCACAGTACGTAGGGCAGTTAGTTAGGCGTCCTCGAGCGCCCTCGGACGTTTGGCGTGATTTTGACTTCGACCCTATGGGGAATTATGCGATTTCTGCCGAAGCGCTCTTTAAATGCTTAGGTTCCTGATACCCAGCACATGACCGAGACTTGCCCAGGCAGGTCGTGCCAATACACTGGCAGAAACGGCCCGTGGCTTCATATGCTTGGCATCCTTTTCACATGACGCTATGAAAATGAAACCGAACAAGTGAGCGACGATGATCAAAACATTTCATACCAACCTAGGTCAAAGACGTGAACTAGCTTCAACACTGGGCATTTGACCTGACCTCATGCACGCATCCGACATAACACAATGCGTTCTTCTGCTTCCATTGGCGCCCCGTGCATCTCCCTCCCACGCAAGCAGCAGTGTTTTTCCCGCCTCGCGGCTGTTCGCCGTGGGTGTCCGAGTCCGACGCGCCGGCGGCCGCTGCCGCCAGCCCGTCCGCACCGCCCGGCCGTCGGAAGCGTGCGCCGGGGGCTGGGCCGGCGCCGACGCCCCACCCCGATCGCGCGCGGCGCACCAGCGCAAACACACGGCCGAGCGCCGACCGATCTGTTGTTCACCCCCGATGCAAATCGGTCGCCCCTGCTCCCTTCAGCGGGCGCGAGCCGCGCTCCAAACGGGAGTCGGCGCGGCCAGCGCGAGTCGACTCGCCGCAGCCGGAGGAGCCGGACGCCAATTCAAAGTGAATAATGACTTGGTGATTCGGCCGGCGAGAGATTGTGCGCCGTCCCGGCGCCGGTCAGCTCCCGGGCCGCCGCCAGGGTAGGCGCGTGACGTCAGAGCAGCGCTGCGTCCGGGCGTGGCGCCGGCGCAGGCGGCCGGCCGCTCGCGCCGGCCCGCGGGGGAGTGCCACTCCGCCCGGCCGCCACCGCCCACGCGACCCGGGTGACGCGCAAGAAGACGTCAGTGTAAACACTGGCCGCGGCCGCCCAGGCGTCTTGATCATGCGACAAAGCGAGCGCAAAATGACCGGCACAGGATAATCGTGGCCGGCATGCCCCAGTGTCGAGCGTGCGCGCGCGCGGGAGGTCAGGGAGCGCCGGCCAGACCGGGCCGCTCGGCCCCACCCGCGATCTGGGCGCCCATTCATGGGAGAAGGCGAACCGGTTAGCGCCGGCCCCGGCTCGCCGAAGAAAGCCGCCCGCCCACCGGCCGGCGCGCGATAGAGCGATCCCGGCCGAGGCGTGCCCTGGCGCCGGCCGCGCCCGGGCAGCGCCGCCGGCCGGCACGGTGAAAGCGCCGAGCGCGGTCGTTCCGCACGTCTGGGGGCGGCGCGGCCAGCGAGCCCGGCCTCCCGCCCACGCGGCAGCTCCGGCCGCACGCGCCTGTCGGAGCACACAACAGCACCCGCGGCCGCCCCGGTCAGCATCAGGGCTGTGACGAATCGTCCATCGAGCCGCTGGGTCTCCGTCTATCAGCACTCCCGTATCCGACGCAACTGGATCCCTGGCGGCCAGCCATCGCATCCACAGGTGTCATCAGCGTCCCATGACACCAGATGTCACCTCCCGGCGCCACACAAACGGACGCCATGGCCTCCTGGTACACACGACTGACACCATGACCTCCCGTCACACACGGACGGACACCGTGACCTCCCGCACCACACGGACGAACACCGTGACCTCCCGCCACATGCGGTCGGACACCGTGACCTCCCGCACCACCCGGACGGACACCGTGGCCTCCCGCACCACCCGGACGGACACCGTGGCCTCCCGCACCACACGGGCGGACACCGTGACCTCCCGCCACACACAGACGGGCACGATGACCTTCCGCCAAACACGGCCGAACACCGTGACCTCCCGCCACACACGGACATATACCGCGACCTCCTGCCACACACGGACGGACACTATGACCTCCCGCCAAACACGGCCGAACACCGTGACCTCCCGCCACACACGGTCGGACACCGTGACCTCCCGCAGCACACGGTCGAACACCGTGACCTCCCGCAGCACACGGTCGGACACCGTGACCTCCCGCAGCACACGGTCGGACACCGTGACCTCCCGCAGCACACGGCACACGGTCGGACACCGTGACCTCCCGCAGCACACGGCACACGGTCGGACACCGTGACCTCCCGCAGCACACGGCACACGGTCGGACACCGTGACCTCCCGCAGCACACGGTCGGACACCGTGACCTCCCGCAGCACACGGTCGGACACCGTGACCTCCCGCACCACACGGTCGGACACCGTGACCTCCCGCACCATACAGAGGTGGACTGCCCTCCCGAGTGACGAGGCCACCGACGCGCCGCCGGCACTCCGCCCCGGCTAACGAGCGTCGCACCGCACTCGGATTAATGGCTCTTCGATTAGATAGGCGAGGTGGAGGCGGCCGTCGACCACCGGGCCGTCAATCCTCCACAGCCAAGGCCGCCCCGGACCGCCGTGCCGCCGGTCAGCCGGCCCGCGTGTGCCCAAGCCGCCGGAGAGCGGTGACCGGGCGGCGGCCGTCGCAGCGCACCGAGCGGCGGCGCGCCGGACGGGTGTGGTGTTACCGGAGCCGGTCGATACACCGCCGCCGCCGCCACTCGACGGGCAGATATGTTTCCGTGACGCGGCGTGGCGGCCGGGGGTGACAGGGGCCGACTCGTCACGACACGGCGCCGGCCTGTCGCGTCCGCTGCGCGCCGGCGCCCGTTGGCCGGCGCGCACTTTATGCGGCGGCACGCGCGGCGCCGTGCCCACAATCGGCGCCGCTGATCGCCAGCACGCGGCCGGCACGGTGCCGAGGCTCGGTCGGCGGCGGTCGAGAGAGGACCGACCAAGCGGCGCCGCCGCCGCCGCGCCGGCAACAACAGATCGATGAGGGCTGGCCGGTAGGCCGCCGGTGCCCGTCTGTCAGCGGCCGTCACTGGCCGTCAGCGGGGGTGAGCAGCGGCACCGACCGGCCGTCTGAGCGCCAGTACGGCGGCCATCCCGGCCCGGCACGGGGAGCGGCGGCTGCGGCGCCGACGGCGGCCGTGGCCGGCGGGCGGCCGCGTCTGTCGCGCCAGGCCGGGCCCAGTGGCCCGACGCGCCGGCCGGTCTCGGCGCTGCAGCTATGTCGGCTGACGGACGGCGGATAGGCGGCGCGAGATAAGGAGGCTGGTCGGGGAGCTCCGGCCCCGACTCCGGCTCCGGCATCGCCCCTGGCCGTATGCGCAATCCACACAGCTCACCTTGATATAGCCCTGGTTGTCGATCAGCAGGTTCTCGGGCTTTAAGTCCCGGTAGATGAGGTCCAGGTAGTGGAGGTACTCGAAAGCCAGCACTATCTGCGCCGCGTAAAACCTCGAGTGCGACTCACTGCGGACAAGTGGTCACGATCAGCCCCCATTTCTCCATGGGCCGACGCTCGGAGCCAACGCCGCGGCTCACAACACAGTGCGCTCCACTCAACGCGTCCCACGCCGGCCGCCGACGGCCACGATTAACTGATACAGAACGTTTCCCGCCCTACCGCAGCGTCGTAACAAGGCTCAAATGCGACCTCCCTGGTCAAATAATGAGCAAGCGTTCAACATCTCAGTACACGCGGCAGGCAACGCGTGAGCAATATACAAATGGAATGCACTCCGGAACATTTTAGGCGTGCGTCCCAAGAACGCAGCCGCAAGTGCGAAGAGCAAATATTCGCTGGCGACTGCGTTTGGCGGGCGATGCAGCGAGGCGAGGGCAGCAGGGCGCCCGAGACGCAGTGAAGCGGCGTCCGACGGCCGGCCACCGGCTCTACCGGCCAGAATCGATACACCTGCACGGCAGTCGGCGGCAACAGCGGACGACACGGCCGAGCGGCTGGCCACCGGCCGTCACAGGGCGGCGGAGGACGGGCACAGGGGGGCGGAGGACCGACACAGGGAGGCGGAGGACCGGCACACGGCGGCGGAGGATGGGCACAACCAGGCGGGAGCCGTCACAGGGCGGCGGAGGACCGACACAGGGAGGCGGGAGCTACCACAGGGAGGCGGGAGTCGTCACAGGGGCGGGAGCCCTCACAGGGGGGGGGGGGGGGGGGGGACGGAGGGCCGTCAAATGGAGAAGAGGGTAGCCGTCAAAAGGGGCGGGGCGTTCCAGAGGTCTCGAGGTACGCGCAAGGAAACAAGGGAGCCATTATACGTATGCGGAGGAATCATCACATGAAGACCGGAAAACCGCGAGAGATACTGACGACCGGTCCGATGTCGTGGGCCAGCTCGGAGCTAAACTGTGGAGGGCGAGGTGGCGGACAAAGGCCGGGGGTGACAGCTGGTGACCACAGGTGACCTGGGGAAACCGTACATGCTGAAAGCTGTCATCTCCATCCATCTGTCCATCACTCGTCGGCCTGGCCCGAGCGCGGCGACCAGGCGGCGGCGCGCGTCGCCCGCGTCGCCCCCTGGCACCGACCCACCAGCCAGTGCATGTTCGCCAGTCAGCAACGACACCGCGGTGTATACTGACAGCGCATTACATGCCGGATATCCGCCAGGCGCAGAGCGCAGCACCCAAACAGGGCCAGCGACGCGAATCAAGCGGAGAATCCGGACCACACCAGATACGCATGACAATGCTGCACCGCGAGCCCAGCAAACATCGAAAGCGACCGCTTCCCACACAGCGAGCACAAAGCGACCAGGCTAACAAAGCGACACACACGCGCCAGGGCTACTGCTGCAGTTTAGGAACCGTGGCAGCACGGTATGAGACGACAGGAGCCAAAACGCTCGGCGCGCGCTTGTGCCACGTTGGTAGCGTGGCTCCATAAATGCGTGTTAGGCGATCGCGGCACATGCAACCCAGTTTTTGAGGAACGTGATGTCGTTCGTCTCATCTAGCATGCGCTATGCCGCGTGCCGGAGTTCTACCGCCACGGAGCGAGCTATCCGTCTTCACGCGAAAGGTGTCAGCGCTCGGCAAATGTCACGAGCTAAGGCAACACAAATGGAGAGGTCATGCGTTTAGTCGCGGGTTAGCGGCGAAAAAGAACGCAGAGGAGTAAGCAGAAAGTAATACACGGTCTATGGAGCACTGCATCAACAGCCATGCACCGGTCTTACCTAAACCTGCCGCTTTTCCGTAGGTGAGAGAACATCTCTCCCCCGGGCACATATTCTAAAACCATGTACAAATTTGAATTATCCTGAAACAGAAGGGACGGTGAGGTCAGCTGAAAGCAACCCGGCACACGGCGGACAGCACGGACGCGGACCGGACCAACCAGCCCCCGATGGCGCCGCGGCGGACGCGTGCGCGCTCTTACTGGAAGCCGCGCTTGGTGGCGGCCCGCAGCTTGCGCAGGTGGAAGAACATCTCGCCGCCGGGTACATACGGTAGCGTGATGTACAAGTTTTTGTTGTCCTGAAAGATGAGCATTCCGTACAGAACGGGTCGGTGGATGGCGCAAAGGAGCTGCCAGTAAGCGTCACGTGCTGTGACAGCCACAGGACCCGCACCCACAGCTCCCGCCCGCTTGAACGCACCATCCGGTCTGGTGTGTGTTCACTCCCCTCCCCACGCCCCGCCAAAATATGCATAAACCATTCTGAATGCAATAAAGCTGCGGCTTAAGTGACACCGGACGAAGCAGCACAGTTCGCCAGCTGGAGCCGGACAGACGAGCGAGCCTCCCCAGCCGTCAGGCGGCAGCGCTGGCGGCCGGCTGGGAGTCTGGTGACGTTCCATCCGTGATGACCAACAGCTGCCAAGCCGCGGTTTGCCCCGCACTGATCCACGGCCAGGGCGTCGGTGCGCGCGCCGCCGGACGCCGACGCAAGGGGGCGCTGCATCGGACCGACGCCAGGCGGGGGTGTCGCGTCGGATTGCCGCCGCCCTCAAGGCTGATTACACGTAATGAGTGCGGTCGGGCCCGCAGGCCGATACCGGACACCGGACGCAAAAGCCGGCCGCGGAGCGCAGAGACCGCGACCCGCCGCCGGCTGGGGCTGCCAAGTCGCGGCCAGACATCCTCACCCACCAGCTGGCAGTTGGAGCTGCCGAGTCGTGGCCAGACAGCCTCATGCGCCAGCTGGCGGCTGGAGGTGCCGAGTCGCGGCCAGACAGCCTCACGCGCCGGCTAGCGGCTGGAGCTGCCGAGTCGCGGCCAGACAGTCTCACGCGCCAGCTGGCGGCTGGAGGTGACGAATCGCGGCCAGACAGCCTCACGCACCAGCTGGCGGCTAGAGGTGCCGAATCGCGGCCCGACAGCCTCACGCGCCAGCTAGCGGCTGGGGCTGCCGAGTCGTGGCCAGACAGCCTCAAGCGCCAGCTGGCGGCTGGAGGTGCCGAGTCGCGGCCAGACAGCCTCACGCGCCAGCTAGCGGCTGGAGCTGCCGAGTCGCGGCCAGACAGTCTCACGCGCCAGCTGGCGGCTGGAGGTGACAAATCGCTGCCAGACAGCCTCACGCGCCAGCTGACAGCTGGAGGTGCCGAGTCGTGGCCAGACAGCCTCACGCGCCAGCTGGCGGCTGGAGGTGCCGAGTCGCGGCCAGACAGCCTCACGCGCCAGCTGGCGGCTGGAGGTGCCGAGTCGCGGCCAGACATCCACACGCGCCAGCTGGCGTCTGCAGGTGTGAGTCGCGGCCAGACATCCACACGCGCCAGCTGGCGTCTGGAGGTGTGGGTCGCGGTCTCCACAACTGTGCCCTGACGGATCCAGCGATGAACAAGACCAGCTGTTGTTTGGAGGGATTGTGCGGGACTGGCACGCAACGCGGTTCCGTGCATTCTTTTTGCTAGAAATGAGTCAGAGCACAAGCGAAGCTGCGAAACTGCTCGTGGAATCCACTGTCTCGGCAAATGTCAGCGTCAGAATCTAGGCAGTCTTCAATGCTTGCCAAAGAAACCCTTAATCAAGGATATCGTTTAATACTTCACCATAAACCGCTTAGTCTGTTTCTACACGTCAGAAGTCATAGAAAAGCCAACTATTTGTGTTGACATCTTAGAAATGGGTATCATGGCGTCAACGTCTTCTGCAGAAGATATGTGGTGACATCACCACCATTTTATGAACGCCATGTGGTGCGGACGAAGCCGTTTCCAAAAAAATCCTGCCGTCATTGGATTTTTACCCTTCCACCACCTGCCTGATTCTGGAACGAACTCAGTTGTCAAGAAAGCCCCGTCTACCACCTTCATTTACCGGTTTATGGAACTGCCTCAGCTTTTACAAGACACGTAACATTCCACAAAAGCCAAATCGATAGCACGAGCCACAGCCCACGGCGGGCAATTCCCGGGCACGCCATCCCATCTGTGGTGCAGCGACTACGGCAGACACGATGGAATTCAACGAATACGACAGCGGCGGGAACAACTATTGGGGCTCAGTCTCACGCATCCGTTGGTGTCGGCAAGCAATCGTACACATTTTTCTTGTCTATCTACGGAACTAACCTCAGACCACCGCAGGCCTTTTTCTGGTGAATGGTCGAAAAGTGTACTGGACAAATTGCGCGCACTGAACTATTGTGATTGGTGGATCACGAACTCTTCAGGAGAGTGTCGTCACGGGAACGCCTTAAGGCAGCTAGGTCCTATCGGCAGTTCGGAGAGATGCGGCGGACGTCAGGATGTCACATGACGTCATGCAACGTCATGATACGGACAGACGGGCTGTCGGCCAGCCGCGCGGACGCCGACGCGGCAGCCGGGCAAGGCGGAACTGAAACTGCAGTCGCCACACGCCCGCTGTCATGGCCAGCGGCCAGTACCAGCTGACGGCCTGTGGGGAGCAGCATGGATGTTCCGCGCGCCGCTGGGAGTCGGCACACTCGGTCCGCCGGCGGCGTTGCGCCCAGGCTCAGCTCCGCTCCCACGCTCACCTTAAAATGGTACTGCAGACTAACAAGAAACGGGAAGCTGATGGCTTGGAGGATCCTCTTCTCGTTTAGTGTGTGTTCCACCTGCTTCAGCCGTACCACCTGTGGGAGGGAGCCGCGCCATCGTCAGCACATGACAGCCCGCACGCTCCATCACAACCGCCGCGAGGAGGCGTGTGAGCACGACAGGACTCAGGTGCCAGGAGCCCCATCAGCACTGGCATCAGCCGGCAGACCCGAGGGAAGACCAGAGACTGCCGACGCCCCTGCTGCCGGGCTGCCAGACGCTACAGACGTGCCGCACACCACTGCCCCGCCCAAGAACAATGGAGCGGCGCGCACGGCACGGCCAGCCGGCCGGGCAGCGGCCGATCAGCATTGACGGGCGGCCCTGCCACTCAATATACTGCAGAAATACACGACGGCAGTTAATGGCACAACAACTGCTAAGAATAGCTAAACACGGAACATTTCCTGCCAAGGCAGTCATTCCGGGATGTTTTGAGAAGCATCTTCCAGGATATTAACAAAGCACTCCTAAGCCACATGAAAATAAACGCTTGACGAAAGGTATTTACGCGCGACTTCTTCGGGAACTATGAGAGAGTCTCCAATGACATAATGAGCTCCACTCATAGCACCTTACTAGCTACGCCATTAGATGGCAAATACGAAGTTTACAGCCGGGGCAAGACAGACGGATACAGAAATCAGTCGGCCTGCACGCCTCCCTTAAGGGTAGAATGTCTAGATCAGGTAACAGACACATCAATCCACGACAAAACGCCATCAAGTCATGATAAAACGCCATCAATTAACTATACAACGGTGAATTCCGCCCCAGTGATTGAGACCGGTTTGCTCTGCTTCAGTACCCAAGGCGTGCTGGGTTTAGTCTCAATGTACCCCGTGTTAGTTTAAATGAGCCCTTCACGGGGTAGCATGACACGGAGCTCGAAGTTCACGTGTCACGGTCGGACCCCCACAGGAGGGAACAGGAGAGCGCCCGACTCTGAGCCTCACGGATCAGGGCCGGACCTTCCTCGATCGGTGGAGGGCGGGGGAGGGGGGAGGGGGAGGGGGAGGACGGTCCGACCTTCACGGAACAGAGCGGCACTCGCCCTGACCCTAGCGGGGCAGAGAAGCAGTGATCAATCGGACCACCAGACCCACGGCCCCACAACGGTCAGCTGTGCGACCCGCCCCCCACTCACCACTGCAATCGCTTTCTAATCTCTATCATAACGAAAGGGAACATTAACTGAGCAGTGACGTCACCAGGAGTCTGCGGCCACGCCGTCGTCGGCGCTGTGTTTGACGTACACAAGCAGCGCTTTTTGCACGGCGGTCCGCGTGCACAGACTTGGAGCCCCTACCGCGAATCAGCCGCAGATAATAGACAACACGTCCGATGGCCGCGCGCCCCCTTACACTGCGGAACACAAACAGCTTGGGGACAACGAACTCGCCACCAGACCCATTCACATCGTGTTGACAACCTGCTGGCTGCAATCGATCGGCAACAAAGCTCCTGTAGGCAACCTCCCGACGGAATGGATTCCGTATTCACGCACATACGAGGAGGCTCGCCATAGCAATCGCGCGTGCTCAAATCCAAAACAGCCACTGGTTGCAGGATTTGTGGAAGTCCCGATTACTCTCCGTTGAAATATTCCTCGCACTAATGAATAACAATTCTAGTTACCTCGCTGTCTATGGATGGTTAACTAATTTTGAAGTCTAGTTTTTGGGTCAGCAACCCATGCCAACTGTCAGTAACGTTGTTTACACTTAAATATACAGAACGATCAATTCAGTGATTTCTGACACCACAACAACTTCGCCATAATATCGCGTACTACAACAACACACTAAATTTGCCAAACGCCACAACATTTCGACACAGATTGCGGTCTCTGCGCCAGGCCAGGTGGGCCAGACGCACGGCAGCGGGGCCGTCAGCCACACACCAGCCAGCGGCGCGCCGCTGACGGCACCTGACCACCCGGCCGCCGTCTCCGAGCCGGCCGGAGCCAGCGGCGGCAGCGGCGCGCCAGCCAGAGCCGCTGACGACAGCTGACCGGCCGGGCGACGCCGGCGGCCTGGCGTCGCGGCGCCGCTCAGCTGGCCGCTACCGGCGGCGGCGGCGGCGGCCAGTCCGCGCGGTCCGCGCGGCTCCGATCAATAGTGCGCGCAGCTGCGACCCTGGGCCGGTCGGCGCCTCCTGTTGTCAAACAGGCCAGCGTGACCGGCGCGCCGCCAACTGGGCCGCGCGCCACCGAGCAGAGCGCGCCGGCGCCGCCGCCGCCGCCTATTCCTGGCCGGGCGGCGCTCCGCCCGCGCGACGACCGGCAGAGCCCGAGCTCACGCCACAGCTGGGCTCGAGTCTGAGACCGTGTCACCGCCTCCCATCAACAGCCCAGCTCCCCCTGGCTCACGCCACAGCTGGATTCGAGTCCCACACCGGGTCAACGCCTCCCATTAACAGCCCAGCTCCCGCTGGCTCACGCCACAGCTGGACTCGAGTCTGAGACCGTGTCACCGCCTCCCATCAACAGCCCAGCTCCCGCTGGCTCACGCCATAGCTGGATTCGAGTCCCACACCGGGTCAACGCCTCCCATCAACAGCCCAGCTCCCGCTGGCTCACGCCACAGCTGGGCTCGAGTCCGAGACCGGGTCACCGCTTCCCATCAACAGCCCAGCTCCCGCTGGACCAGTCTGCACAGCAAGGCCCGCGATATCGCCTGAAGGCAGACTTCGCAAAATACTGCCAGCTCCCAACGTCGAGGCAAGCGACATAAGGCGCCACATTCGTGTGACCAGCACATTTCACGGCACGGAGTGCTTCGATCAGGGACGGCCTGCCACGCACACTGGACCAATACATGACACTATACCCCATTGCCTAAACAAACTCACATCAACCCCCTCAGCAGTCCTTTCACCTTTGGAAGTCCATCAATCAGGAGCCGCACGACGAAGCGGACCGGTCCGCCAGCCTCTGGGCTCAGCGTTACGGCGCCGGATCCGTCGGCGCGCTCGGACCGGACGTCGGGCGACACGCCCTGCTCGCCGCCGGAACACGGCGCCGGTCCGCGGCGCATTCGCCGAAGCCGGCCGGCCAAAGGTCATGCCGTCGCCCAACCCACACCTCATTACAGGCCCATCCATTAGGGGCGCCGCCGGCCGCGCCGGGCCTCGTGCGCACACGTGCCGCTTGTCAGCCGGTCAGCGCCGCTCCCCATCACATCCGCCGGCGGCATCAGGGGCCACGGTCGGCCGGCGCCCGGCACCGGGCACCGTGGCCCCGGCCGGGGCGCCGCCGGCCGTGCCGGGTCTCGTGCGCACACGTGCCGCTTGTCAGCCGGTCAGCGCCGCTCCCCATCACACCCGCCGGCGGTATCAGGGACCACAGCCGGCCGGCGCCGGGCACCGTGGCCCCGGCCGGGGCGCCGCCGGCGTGTGTCGGACACTCCCGGCCAGCCGCCGGTGCGGTCGGCGGCCACCGTACCGCCATGCCGGCCCGCGCCCGGCCGACCGCTCGCAAGCCGCCGACGAAAGTAAAACAATCAAGCCGAGCCCGGCGGCCGCCGGCGGCATCTTGGGTGCGGTCGATATCCTTATTGCATGGCGCCGCCACATCCAATAACGGGGCGGTAACAGGGCGGCACGGGGTCGATGCGGCCGCGGACATCCCGACAGGTTCGGCCACCCGGTCAGGGTCGCCCGGCCAGCCCGCCCGCCCGCACGCCGACTGGCCCCAGATAGTATCAGACGAGGCGGCGTGAGCGCCAGACATTGCCGCGCTCAGTGCGTGTGCCGAGCTGCGCTCCGTGGTGTCTGGATTCGGCGCCGACAGCCAGCGTCCTGCAGCGCCTGCAAGCGCAACGGGCTTGGAGTCGTGTTCTGCTCACAGGTGACTCCCAGACGACTTGACAATACTTAAACACATAAACGCGAAGTACTGAATGCCATAAAAATGACGGTATAAACACGCCATTCTGGAAAGAATTACTAACAGTTGGTCGTATACCACTGTCAGTCCGGGAAAACTGAATAGCGGCTGGCAGTACACCACTGACAGCCTGGGAAGACTGACTAGTGGCTGGTGGTATACGACTGTCAGTCTGAGAAAACTGAATAGCGGCTGGCAGCACACCATTGGCAGCCTGGGAAGACTGACTGATGGCTGGCGGCATACCACTGTCAGCCTGGGAAGACTGACTAGTGGCTGGCGGTATATCACTGTCAGCCTGGGAAAACTGAAAAGTGGCTGGCGGTAAACCACTCACCACTGTCGGCCTGGGAAAACTGAATAACGGCAGGCGGTATAACACTGTCAGCCTAGGAAAACTGAATAGCGACTAGCAGTACAACACTGTCAGCCTGGGAATACTGACTAGGGGCCGGCGGTATAGCACTGTCAGCCTAGGAAAACGGAATAGCGACTGGCGGTATAACACTGTCAGCCTGGGAAAAATGAATAGCGACTGGCGGTATAACACTGTCAACCTGGGAAAACTGAATAGCGACTGGCGGTACAACACTGTCAGCCTGGGAAAAGTGAATAGCGACTGGCGGTATAACACTGTCAGCCTGGGAAGACTGACTAGGGGCTGGCGGTATACCTCTATCAGCCTGCGAAAACTCACCTGCGGCTGCCGGTACATCACTGTCTGCCTGGGAAGGATGACTAACAGCTGGCGGGATGCTTTGGTCAGCCTGGTCAGCCAAGGTTAGCCTGGGAAGACTAGCGGCTGGCGGTATACCACTGTCAGCCTGGTCAGCCCGTGTCAGCCTGGGAAGACCTGACTAACGGCTGGCAGTATACCACGGACAGCCTGGAAAAACTCCCGAGCGGCTGCCGGTATACCATGATCAGCCTGACAAGACTGACTAGCGGCTGTCTAACACGGTAATGGAGTTGGAATGTCAACCGCTTGTCACATCAGGACTTCGTGCCGAAAGCCCACGGTGCAGACGCCCCCAACTGACACCACAAACCCAGCGCCGCGAGCCACACACGGCCACCATCCAGCTCCGTGGACTCTGGGGGCAGCTCGGGCGCGCCCTGCGCCGTCTGGTAATGCACGGCGCCCGC